ATATATATAGTGTTGTATACCGGATAAAAAGTGTCCTTTTTTTTGCTCTCATATATTTTTTGTAATTTTAAGGAAGCACAAATGAACTTTACATATATATGTATAACATATTATTGTATATATTTTGCAGATAAATTCTAATTATTGTTTCTGGGCTGCATCCTGTTCTACATGCTTTTTTTTAATTATATATATTTTTATTTTTAGGCTAGCCTAGCTATATATAGGACAAAGTTATAGAAATTATATATATATTCTTACTTGAGATATATGCCATTTTTACCGCTTTATTTTAGATCTATTTTCATCATTAAAATGACCAAATACCATGAACTTCGGGAGACTGATGAATCTGCATAAAAAGAGTAAACAGGCTTTACAATGCTCTCAACACAAATCTGATCTATTATTCAAAATAGAATAGTGAACTTCTAGTAGCGATTGAGGAACAATCAGAACAATCTCCATAAATCACATGGCGTTTGGGGGAGAAACGATTGTTGGTTTGCGACAATCAACATAGCAAACGTCGACCCATCCGTCCGTTACAAGGAATCAGAACTATTTGGATCTTCGTTGGTCGACTCGGCCTTTAGGAAGACCAATATATTAGTTTACATTGTTGACTCAGCCTTTAAGAACATATGAGCAGTTTATTCTGCTTAATTTTGATATGGTATTCTAATAACGTCATTAAAATGTGTGACTCAGAGCATTTCAACATATATGGCATGTTGACACGCGGCCGATAAACCATGTTGCATAGTTAACTTCTTTTTTCCTTGAAAAATTATACACGTTGATTCACAAATTTCTTTATTTTTTAATCTACTTTTAAAAAACTTACTAAAAAATATAGTCAAGTTAAAAAAAAACTTTATATATAAAATTTATTTTGATTTTAAACTTTATATTTCATATTTACCTATTTTTGTCATATATATTTTTAAAAGTTTTTTTTGTCCTTAAATTTTATATGTAAACTCTATTGTTGGTATATTTGACGTACTTTATTTTTGTATTTTTACACAGTGTTCAAGGGTTTGTAACAAAGTACTTAGAAATGAAATTATGTAAAACTGAAGGACGACAAAAAATAGAAATTAAATATTTTGTATATTATCGTATTTGACAAAGAGATCATATGAAAAGAAAATCGGAATATCCATGGGTACGGTGTTAAGTTTTGGCTGTAAAAAAGTATAGAAAAAAAAGGTGTAATATTATTTTTTAAAAAATAAATAAAAATAGGTTTGCAGATCAAAGGCATATATTCTCCAACTTTTAATGAGGCAGAGCATGTGGGGTTTCTGTAGCCTCTTCCCTTTTGGGACAGAAATGGAATTATCAAATTTGAGAAAAATATATACACCCCTGCGCCTGCCCCACTTATCTTTCTTCCTCCAATGTTTTTTCACATGATTTTTTAATAAATAAAAAGTCTTATCCTGCAGGCATTATTTCCACTTGATTAAAAAATTATGTCACATGTATTTTATGTTATTTTTAAAAGTATAGAGACTTAGTTTATTAAGGAGAGGAGGGATGGGATGGGTCATTTTCTGATCTTTTAAATTGAAGGCATTTCAATTGATAAATAAAATTATTTGGATAGTGGTTTAAATGTCACTGATTTTAAAGTTTCCGTATTTTTTCCGGTCAAAGGAGAAATTATTTGCATAAACCAAGAATAATGGGAAAAAGTTCTTGATCTAAAAGAAAGGATTTTTTCTCTGGCGTAAAAAATGAAAAATTTACTTTGAAATTATGTGGTTACATCATCATTGTAATCAAGTTTCCGTCTACTTAAACAACGTGACGTAGCTCATTCTGACAAGGTGTATGGTAGGTAGTTTGAAAGTCATTCAAAATGAGATTATCAAATAACATATACAAAATATATTTAATCCCCTCGTAAACTGGACACGTACATATGCATTAGATTTTTCCATTGTTACGACTACTTCCCTATCTCTCCTAGGATGAAAATGTAGAGAGAGTTTTATTAAAATCTTCCATTTAGGTCAACTTCTCAATTAAAAAGAAGCAAAGAAGTAGCTCCTACACCATTAAAAAGGAGTAGGGCGAGCTTATTTATTCAATAATAATTGTGTTTGGAAATTAAGGAAGAAGATCTAAATTGCAAAATTGTAAAATATTTGTGGGTGAGAATAGAAGAATCCATTTGTAATTTGTAAAAAAATTTGTAGTAAAAGACAATCCGAGAAACAAACATACCCTTAGAGCCAACAATTTGCTTTTCCCTAAAACATCCATTCAACTCCAATTATAAAAATAAAGGCATTTCCTTTAATAAAACCCAGAAGAGAGAGGGTTTGGGTTTGTTTTTGTATATTAAGTAAACTATAAATTCAGGAATCTGAAAAGGCCTGGGAAGCTGTGGCTTTTTGCTTTGGTTCAACACAGAATATTCTGTACCCACCAAAATTCAACAGCAAAACTCCAAAACATTTGTATTAAACAAACTTTACTCCCCAGAAAACATCATTACTATATGATTAAGGATTTGCATTTTAATTTGCAGCACAAGATCGAGTCAGCCAGAGAAGACTTCTCTCACTCCCAAATATTCACTCTCTCCACCCTCCTCTTTTCAAAATCTAGCTTGATCACGTTGTTTATCAGAAATTAGGAATTAGATATATTATAACTAGTAGTATTTTCATTTCTTCTCAGCTGGAAATGATTTCGTAATTTAGTAAACAGTATTGGTGTGGGGTAAAAAGTGGACAATTGTAGACTTTGCCGAAAAATTGGGGAAGTGGGGTTGTAGATCTGGGGTGGCTCTAGTCGAACTGTGGACAAAAACATGATCATAGTTTTATTTTTGGGGACGGATTTTATTCTTTATATTGTCTATTTCGTCGTTGGTGTTGGATTTTAGCTTTGGTTTGACAGATGGGCACGTGCATTACAGCCATGTTTATTCAATCTTTTCTTCTCTCTTCTCTATCGGGAATTGCCTTTCTCACACTTTGACTCCACTGTTATCAAAGTTATTCAACAACACAAACATATGTATATACTTTCTTTAACAAAAATGTAAAATAGGGTTGAAGGAGTTACTACTGATGAATTAGAAAAAGAAAAAAAATAAAAATTAAAGCACCACCGTCCACAACCACTGATGAGCTCTCTACTTGGTTTAAAATTACAAAGAAAGCGATGACAACGATATTGTAGTATGATATATTGGTTACGTTACCCAACATTATAAATTTACTTAATCTTTTTATATACATACTCAATATGGGGGATTCTTTGTTTTTGAATAATGATTAGTTTTGGGTTAAAATAATATTTTGGCTCCTGTACTTTCAAGATAATGTTCATTTTGTTCGTTGTACTTCTAATTTTGATTCATTTTAGTTTCTGTACTTTCAACTCTAATTCATTTTAGTCCTTGTACTTTCAAAATGATTATTTTTGTCGTTCATTTACTTAATTTTAAAAAGTGATCATTTTTGTCCTTTAACTTTATTTTTAATCTCATTTTTTCTATCACAATTTTAACACGACACTATGACCAATATCTTTCTTGAAATGTAACCATGACTTTAGAGGAAAATGAACAAAAGCTGAAAGTACAGGGATTAAATGATATTTTTAACCTTAGTTTTATTATCTTCATCATTTTTGTAATGATAATACATATTTAGTGAACAAAATGGGACGAGATGACGATTTTTTTAGGTGTTGAAAACAAAAATTTAAAAACAAGAGATTTAATAAAATAATATAGTTTGTATTTCATGATTTTAGTGTTTTTAATACGTTTTTTATAGCAAATTTGGAAATTGAATCTCAATTTTTAAGATAGGGTTATTAAGATATATTTGTAAATTAATAGTAGTTAGAACTAATTATTTAGTTCAATCTAAAATATAATTAATTAATTTATTAACATATATGTTATAAATTTTTTTGAATTATTACTTTACAATTATATGATCTATAATATATTTAATTTTAACAAAAAATGAAATAAATTTATTACACTAAATAGTATATTTTCAAAGTTTTTATTTAATTCTGCATTTTAGATTTTAAATTTAGAATGGAAAATAATGGAAACATAAAAATGATGTTTTTATAATTTCTACTATTTTGAATCATATAATCCAAAAATAATTTTCCAAGAAAAATCTTTCAAACAAAACATAATCCAAAATAGGTAATAGACAAGCCCTTACTTTTCTTTCTTCTACTTACATGAGTCTATTGAAACCAATTGCACCCTACAATCCTTCTCTTCCCTAAGAAATGCAAAGTTTTGATTTGGTGCATATCACACTGGGCACTCAACATACAAGAAAAGCTCCAACGTTCGTTTGACATCTCATTAGTCCAAACTGGTGTGTTCTATGCAATTCGACAAGTGAAACTACTCTAGATCATTTAATTCTCCGTTTCAAATACACATATGTCATATGACCCACCTCTCGGATGCTTTTAACTTCAATATTGTCTTTCCTTGTTGCATTGACGGTTTCATCAAAGAAATCTTACCTCGTAAGCTCTCAAGCAAATATCATATCTTATGGAGTAATATGATTGGTTCCCCTCTTAAGACATGTTTGGTGGGAAGAAACAATTGCATTTTTGTTGGCAAGTCTTTGGTTGTCGCATCTCTGTGAGAGGATATCAAAATTACCGCTTCTACATGAACATCAGAATCTCCTTTTTTGTAATTATAATATAGCTACTATTTATCTAAATTGAAAGCTTTTATAYAAGCATTCTTCTTTGGTATGTTACTCATTCTGAAAAAAAAAGTCCTCATATTTGTGTCACGAGTGAGTGGGGGTTAAAAACTTTGGAAAAGAAAAAAATAACACAGGATTGGTGGATGGATTGGACTTGACAAATAAGAAAATAAGAGACAAGCAAATTATGAGATAATCATTCCATATGGAAAAGATACTAACTTTCTTCCAACATCATCCTATGTGTCATCTTCCACACATTTCCCCTCTCTCTATTTTCTCTTCTCCTTCCCCCAAACCCTTTTCTTTTCTCTCCCATTTTATTTTTACTTCATTTGTCCTACCTAAAACCTACACAATCTACACACACACACAAAACACATCTTCCTGGAATTTCCCACCATATATATATATATAACCTCTTAATTACTTTCTACTAGCTTTGGAATGATGGAGAAAATGGACGACGAAGAATTTTCAAATTGTTTTCTCCAAATCCCAGCTGCCGGATCCAACCCTTCTCTGGCAAAGAAGAAGAGAAATCTCCCCGGAAACCCAGGCAAGCCAACAGCCTTCTAATTTTCTTCATCAACTGCATGTCTTTTTTATATCTAGGCCAAAACCCCGAACTGGGTTTTGTTGAGATAATCCACATATGAATTAAATTTAACCAATTCAACCGTTTAAGTTTTTGAGTTAGAGTGGTAGTATTGTGTGGTTGCAGATCCTGAAGCAGAAGTTGTGGCGCTGTCGCCCAAGACTCTAATGGCAACTAACAGATTCGTGTGTGAAATATGCGGGAAGGGGTTTCAAAGAGACCAGAACCTACAGCTTCACAGACGAGGCCACAACCTTCCATGGAAGCTGAAACAAAGGAGCAGCAAAGAGCCGAGAAAACGAGTGTATGTTTGCCCTGAGAAGAGCTGTGTGCACCACCATCCTTCAAGGGCACTGGGAGACCTCACTGGTATAAAGAAGCACTTTTGTAGAAAGCACGGCGAAAAGAAGTGGAGGTGCGATAAGTGCTCCAAGAGATATGCTGTGCAGTCTGATTGGAAAGCTCACTCCAAAACTTGTGGCACCAGAGAGTACAAATGTGACTGCGGTACTCTATTTTCAAGGTATAAATTCATGCTCATTTTTCTACTTTCCTATTATCAGCGTTCTTCATTAATCATGTAATGGAATAAACACGATCAATATCCTGAGAATGTAAATTAAATTTACCCAATTCATCCCTTTAAGTTTTTAAGTTAAGTGATGGTTTATATGTGTTCGAATTTCTATATTATCTTTGTTTTCTCTTCATTTATAATGATTTTCACTTGTTGAGCTTTGTGCAATCATCCAAGTCTATAAGTAATAAGTAATGGAAATGTTGAAAATCAAATTAAATTTATTCAACCCATCAATTTACCAATTTGAACGGCAGGAGAGACAGCTTCATCACTCACAGAGCATTCTGCGATGCGTTGGCGGAAGAGACAGCCAGAGTAAATTACGCAGCTACAAGCATAAGCAACGCTGCCAATAACAACTTCAATTACCAGTTCATGGGCGGAGGGACAGAATCAGCATTATTCATGCCACAGCCACAACATTATTTTCCAGCAGCTTCTATTTTCAAGCCAATCATCTCAGGAAATGAAGGAAGAACGTCCTTAAGAAATGCTAATAACCTTAACCTTGGTGGCTCCATGGTCAGTAGCAGTTCAGGGTTAATTTACTGTACTGACCCTGTACTTCCCCCAGCAGCTGGTGATAATTATAGTAATCTCAATTGGGTATTTGGGGCAAAGCCTTTTTCTCAAAACAACAACAACAACCATGGTGATGAAGATGGTGAAGATTTGGATGAAAATGAGAAGTTGGTAAGGGCCACGGGTGGTGGTGCTTCTTCAATGTACCGCCACCAATTACTACAGCAATTGAACCATAGCCAAATGGCAAATATGTCAGCCACTGCTTTGCTGCAAAAGGCTGCCCAAATTGGGGCAACTTCCACCACCACCTCAGACCCATCATTATTCCAACTCCAAGAGGGTTATGTGTTCAAATGCAGCAGTGGGAGTGGTACGGCAGCTGCTGGCTGTGGATTTTCAGCTGGTACAGTTAACCCAATTATGGAGGTGGAACTGGAGGGCATGTACCCTGCAAAACGGCGTCGTACAGATCAGTGTGAACAAGAGCCTGGAACTGGAACTGGAACTGGAACTGGAGGGCAGACTAGGGATTTTCTTGGAGTTGGCGCCCACACTACCATTTCCCACGCCTCATCTATCAATGGATGGATCTAGCCATTTAATTACTATGTATGGTATGGTATTTGCCAATTTCATTTGGACCTCTCTCTCTCTTTTTTTTTTTTTTTCTTTTCTTCATTTCTTTACGCAAAGTTGACAATAAAGTAAATCAAAAGATGGGGGTGAGAATGGAGAATGAGATTTATTCAACTATCTATATCCTGATCAAGATGAGCAAAGTTGAGCATCTTCAATATCAGTTTTATATATGATTCTTTTATATAAAAAAAGAAAAAAAAAATGGGGATCAGGGGAAGTCTGCATATTCACTTGAGTACCAGAAAGTTTGTAACTTTTGCAAAATTGTGGGTTTTGGGTTTGGGTTTGATAAAAGAGAAAGTGGGGCAAAGTTGGGGTCCCCTTTTGGACTCCATTATTGCAATTTTTCATATCTGTCTTGGTGGTTGTCATGTCAAACATGGACCCAACAAGAAAATAATAATAATAATTAATAAAGTGTGCCAAAAACAAAAACGATTTCATTATAAGGCCCATCTGTTTATTCTAAACTAAATATAATTCTACTTTTTCTCTTTCAACCAACCATATATATTATCAATTTGTGCTCTTGTATCTTGATTTGATTTGTCTTCTTTCTTTCCTTACCTTTTCAGTCATCTTCGTTAAAATCGTTCTTTTAGCAAAATAAGTGAGAGGTACGAAAGTTTAAAAAAAGAAGTAGATCTCATTCATTCATGATTGTATTATGTTCATGTTGACAAGTTCTTATCTTTACTTTGAAAAGTAAATTTATGAGGTAAAAGATATATTTATGTTTCAACTTTACTATATCCAATAATGGTAATCTTTACCTTTACCGAGATACAGCATTCCCATAGAATTTAAATAATGTTTTGGGGGTGAGAATTTAGGATAGCTTTGGCGTTCCATAAAGGGCATGGGTGTGTGATGATAAATAACCTACTTTGACGTGAAAAAAAAAAAGCAGAAAAAGCAACTCTTTTGATTTTCTTGCCGTATAACAGCAGTATATATGTTGATTTAGTTGCTAGCTAGTAGCTTTTGCAACTTGAATTATGGTTGAACTGTGCCTTTTCTTCTTTGTATATTTGTTTCAATTGCATTCTCTAATGAAAATTTGAAGTGATATTAATGCAGCATTGATGTTATTAGGTAATTAACAACAAAAATTATTGAAATTATCAAATCAAAATATATAAACAAAATTGAAACTTTGATGATAATTTCGTTTTCTACTTTTTTTGTTTTTAGTTTTTTAAAAATATATTTGCTTGATATAGCAATTCATTTTTTGTTTTCTATTTAAAAGAAAGTATTTTTTAAAAACATATTTCTATTTCTAAAATCTTTTTTTTTTCTAGGTAAGATCTTTTCTTTCTAACAAACTTTTTCTCCTTCAAGAAAAATTTCCCTCCTAACTTTCTTTCTCTAAAAAATTTATCTTTCTCTCCCTAGATAATATTTACTATTATTTCTCTCCAAAATTGTCAATCTCTATCACTTTTAATGTTTACAGTTAGGAGTAGTGAGACCTAAAAAAAATCTCTATATCATTTTTATTTATTTTTTCTAACATATCATTCCCATTTTTTCTCTATTTTTTCTCCTTCTAAAAATTTGATATTTTCTTGAACTTTTCTCTCTTAAATTTCGTCTCTAACATATAATTTTTATTTTTTTAATGTGGCAATAAACGAATGTTTTCACAATATATTTATTAGGGACGATTTTTGAGGTTTAACCAAATTGTAGAGATGCTTTTTTAAGTACAACAAGTGAGGTGGGAGATTTCAAACTCATATATGCTAAGCTCATATTAGCTAAATTATAAGATGTTGAAACTAAGTCAAAATTATATAATCAAATTATCAGTATATCACCCCCAATAAACCCCAAAACAGAGGAAAAAGATTACAACTCATCACTTTCCACACGGCTTATAAGTAGGTGATTTTGCTCAAACCAAATAAACGATACATGCAATTTTAAAATCTTTCTCCAAATTCAATAAAATTTCATGTTCTCAACTTAAATTTATGAACTTATTAGACACTAAAGTTTAAAACTCTGAAAGTTGTAATTTAATAAAAAAAAATGTTTAGCAATAGGGCAACCATATATAAATTCATGAAGTTTGACTAAATTAAACTTTCGAAATAAATCACATCAAAACTATGCCCAAACCATTTGTAATTAGAAAAATAACATTTTAAACAAATAAATTTACTTCAATATTTTCTCTTGGGTCACGGCCCATCTGAAGAAACCGACCAAACCCATTGGGACAAAAAGCCCATACCATAACCTTCAGACAATCCCTCACTCCGTCCGTCGAGAAGGCTTTAGCTTCAGCGAGTAGCGGTGGTTCCGCCATGAAATTCACAGATTCTCCGGTCATACAGCTTCCGGTGGGGGACGCCGTCCTCTCCCTCCAGCAAGACAACGGTTCTATGCACGTCGGCACCTCCGTCTGGCCCTGTTCTCTTGTTCTCGTCAAATTCGCCGATCGATGGGCCTCAATCGCCCCCACCGGAAACCCTTATTCCTCCCTCCTCGATTTCCGCGGCAAACGCGCCGTCGAGATCGGCTGCGGCTGCGGCGCCGCCGGGATGGGCCTCTACCTCCTCGGCCTCACCGATATTCTTCTCACCGATATATCTCCGGTCCTTCCGGCCCTCAAACATAACATCAAACGCAACAAGCCCGTCCTTAAGAAAGCCCTAAAGCACTCTGTTCTTTACTGGAATAACCCTGCCCAAATTTCCGCCCTTAATCCGCCGTTTGATATAGTGATCGCTACTGATGTCGTTTACATTGAGGAAACGGTCGGCCCCCTTATTTCGGCCATGGATGCGCTAATTGGGACCGACGGCGTCGTGCTGTTGGGATACCAATTGAGGTCCCCGGAAGCCGATAAGCTCTTTTGGGAAATGTGCGATAGGGTTTTTCAAATTGACAAGATTCCACATCAAGATTTGCACCCCGATTTTGCCTACGAGGAGGCCGATGTCTTTGTACTGAGGAAGAAGGACACGGCCTCGAGAAGTTAATTCGTGAGTTTAATTTTTTTTTCTGTTACATTGAGAATTTTATAGGTTGGAGCAAATACTTTCATTTTGGTATTTGATATATGATGAGACCCTGCTATATTATAGAGTTGAATTTGCAAGTGTTCTGTGATTTTTGTTACATACAAATCATAATTTGCAAGATCAATGGTTCTGTATTGGCTATTTAACAACTGGCGCTCTGTTTTTCCTTTTGAGTGATATCAAAGTCTCTTGCTTTCTTGTGTGTGCGCATATTCATTTTTTCACCACAATTGAACTCGCGAGGAAAATTTGGAGGGGTACTTTCGTTTCTCAGGATATCTATCCGATTCCAGGATAGTTGAATTATGATCCTGAATTGGCCATCTATTAGATCATTAGAACAGATTTTGATTCGATACATTATTTGTTTGCTTGCAGATAATTAATCAACTAGGAAGAAAACTACAATGTGTAGTACGTCCGGCTCATGAATACCTGATCGTTTGTTTCTTAAATATATATTTCCATATTGATTCATCTGTACTGTATTCATTATCACAGTTCCCTCTCTCCAATTTATTCATACGACAATAATTAACAATGATCATGAAACAACAGAGGACCCACCGTGGACTGCAAACGAATTGCCTCCCGATCTATTTTGATCACTCGGCTGAAAAGAGATGAAAGAAGGGTTATAGAAATCAACAGCTGGGTTAGGATTGGAACCCAACTCATGGCCATTATTGATCTTTTGTCCCCTAAACTTGAGAGAAATGGAGTCCTTCGTCACTCCACATTGCCTAGGCTGTGTTTGGTAGAACACTTTTGAAACCACAATCTCTCCATCTTTCTCTTCCTCACTGCTCCCCAAATGGTATTGGTGCATTATCCAGTTCGTCTTCTCCGGCTTTCTTTGCTTCCCATAGTTGGTGTATAGGACCAGTATCTTTTTGTAACCCTTCACTCTCCCGCCCACCAGAACCGGCCTCGTCTTCCCGGTCTTGTGCCACCGGGTGTCGCCCTCACCGTCGGTGTCCTCGGCATGTACTTTTCTTCTTTTTCTTTTTCCTGTTGTGTAGGCCTTGGACGGCCGGTGGAAGAAGTGCCGGACCAAACCATCCTTTTGTACTCCTGGATGCATCATCAATATATGGTTCTCTTTTTCAGAATATTACGTGACAGATACGAATCTCTCAAAAGAAGAAAAGATGGGGCTTTAACTGCAGAATTATGCTTAAGTTAACTAATTAATAAGAATGTATAATAATAATATTTTGTATTTTGTTTGTGGGTTTGTTTCGAAGGAAAGGGAAAAAAATCACTGTTGCTTGTGCTGAAGTTAGCTGAGGGGTTAGTTTTCATGGAAAAGACACTGAATTCTATACGCTACCTCCTGGCTTCTGGTTTAGCAGTGGATTAATTTCAAATAATAAATCGAAATTATCATCTCAATTGGCTCATAATAAATTATTTCACTAACTTATATAGAATCCCGCATAGTCTGTTTCAGTTCTGTCAACATTTTTAAGATTTTCAATTATAACTCTTTCTGTGCGATTATCAAGCAGTAATGGTGTAAACTTTCATGTGGATGAGAGCGATTAAGATAGAAGTAATGAAACAAATGAATTAGAATTACCAGGCAACTTCTGGGGATGTGTATAGCAAATTCCTTGGTCCCATTGAATAGTGGGGATGAATTCATGGATGAGGCTGTGAGCATAATCACACCCAACAACCTTTCCCTCTAAATGTTGAAGAAGCTGTTGATCCGTAGGGTCGAATTTCACACCCGCAGGCAGACCCGGTAGAGTATGAATTCCACCCTATATATTGAAGAACATGGAAGTGAAGCAAAATAATAATTAAAAAGCAAAAACAAGAACAGACACAGACATGAAAAACCTTTTGATTTTGTGGGCACTTGATTTGGTGGCCGCAAGAAGGACAAGATTTGATGATTTGGGTGTACTGTAAACCACATTCCTGATGTGTCATTATTCACCAAAKTAATGGAGCCTTTTGAGGCAACAAAACGAAGAATTTGGGTTCCAACTTATAAATTCATATATATAAGAACCAAGAAGAGTTTGATATATTGAGTGGAGAGGAGGCTACCTAATATGAGGAGCGTGGGGGGAGTTTTATTCAGGTGTAATGTCACTGTGGAGTGTGCATAAAGATATAAAGCCTGAGTTTTGAAAATACACCCATAATATATATATATATATATACATATATATTATAATGGAAAGAGACCTAGAATATTTTCTTCTACCGCGATTAACTAAATCATGTTTTTATTTAAAATTTAAGTTGTGTCCACCGGCTTTTCCATTATTTATTTTCTTATACCAGATTACACGTGTGGGTTGGAAATTTCAACGTTTCTTTCCATTTTCTATGACCTTTTTTTTAAGTTTAAGACATTGTTTTCAAATTATCTCAAAATTTGGTTTCTTGTTCTTTTTTTTTTCTTTTAATAAAGCCAATTATGCTCAATGTCACATGTTATTTTTACTAAAAGAATAATTAATAAATATGCCACAGTGTGTAAGTAGCTTCTCAATGTATTTTTTAAAATTTATAGCTTCATTTGAATTAGTTTACGTTAACCGTAATTTTCAGTGAAAAGAATGATATGTTTATTATTGAGATAATATATTTCAAATCAATTTCATGGAAACCTTCTACCAATTGTTGGTATATCGTGATCCGATTATAAATTATGAAAGGAAACTTACAAAATCCGATGAATTGTTGGCATCACTGTTTTTTCTTTTGAGTTTTTTAAAAATTTGCTGACAATTTTTGGGTTAAACTTAGGAAATAATACCAAAAATACAGTCACCAAAAGGGTAAAAAACAACAAGAAGAAGCAACTAGTTCAATAAGTAAAATAACATTACTATTTTTAATAGGTAGAAAGTTTGAATCTCTACCTCATAATTATAATTGTAATTTCGTCTTAAATAAATTGTTAAAAATAAAAAAGCCTCCATGGTTGAAAATAAGTTTTTACTCTGCGATGTACGACATATCGTCTGTAAAAAAGAAAGGCACTTTCGTCACTTACCTTATAAGAAACCCAACAATCCCGAGAGAGAGGAAGGGAGCAAGTAATTAATTAACTAGGGTTTATTTGCACATAATATATTATATTGTACTTAAAGAATCAATTTTATAAAAGAAAAAAAAATGATTACGAAGATAACAGATAATTAATAATTAATCCTCTGGGTCAAATTTTTAATTGATTTCTGTTTGAAATGAGTTTTGATCAGTAACTAGGGTTATTCTCCTTTAAAAGGAAAAGGAACAATATTCTTATTATTTAAAACAACCAATAATTTTGCTAACCTAAGTGTAGCTTAAGATTAAAACACTCATATTTTCTCAAGGTCAAAAATTAAGGTTGGATCCTGTCTTTACATTTGTCTGACTCTAAAGAGAGAAAAAAAAAAAAAAATTCAGGAGCGGGGCGAGGGAAGGAGGCCTCAGATTAAAAGCCCAAAACGTTCAAACGAGAGTTCACCTCGCTTTCATAACTTTACATAGGTATGTAATTTTCTCATTTAATTTTATCAAATTCAACCTTAAACATAATTAACATAAATATATATTTCATAAGAAGAAAAATAACTCACACAAAATCAAACTACAAATCACTAAAAATTTAACCACCAAGACACCCAAATCAAACCACACACTTGGACACAATTCCACAATCACAAAAATAGTTTCATTGAACACAGGAATGTAAGGGGCTGTTTTGGTTGGAAACTCGGATTTTGTTTTTTGTTTTCATATTTACTAAATCAAACGGATTGAACAATACACTTGGTAGGATTTGAGAAATTCATTTTTGAAAACAGTTTTCAGATTCTATGATCCGAACAGTAGAAATTCTGAAAGTGATTTTTTTTTTTTTTTATGTTTTTAGATTCAGAATTTGAAAGTTTTAAGATGATCTTTGATAAATATATTACTTCGTATTATAAACTAATTAGAACATGTAAAATATAATGTATTCTAAATTATATAACATTGTAAAATAATAATTATACAAAATTTATAAAAAAAAATATTAATAAATTAATTAATATAACTCTAGATTAAACTAAATATAGTTTGTAACTACCAATTTTTTAAATTTGAGATTCAATTACCAAATCTGCTACCAAACACATATCTGAAAACACTAAAAACAAATAATAGAACTCTGATTTTCCTTGTTTTCAAATTTCTGTTTTTTTGATTACGAACCAAACGCATCCTAATAAACTCGTTATTTCTTACCACAAATTGTCTAGAAGAAACGATACCAAGACTCAATTAACATTTAATTGAGTTCCAGCTTCAATTTAATTAAAGTTTAAATCTCAACTAGTCTGCTCTCCCAACTTTGAAGTATATTTTATTTTRGTTTCTAAATTTTGAAAAATATCTATTTTAATCTCCAAACTTTTACAATTATCACCTAATAGTCAATAAAATGAGCATAGCTCAACTAGTCGAGTTCGAATCTCCATTTTAAAAAAATGTCACCTAATATATATTTACCCAATATTTGTCTCAACCGACACAAGTAACTTCAATATATGTCCATGTTAATACAAACTATATTATTCATTTGTTGAGCAAAATAAAGGTAAAATTTAAAATGATTATATTTCTAAAATTTAGGTACTATAATAGAAATAGAGACTAATAAATTTGAGAAACGAAAAGAGGTTAAACTTGAAACAGGGCCAACGAACCTGAGCTGAACACTCCTCAAACCAAACAAACTGGAAAACGAAAACGAAATCAAAATCAACAAAAATGGAAGCTATTAATTAATCTTCCGTTGTTCATCATCAAAACCCGAAAGCGTTTCCAACCATAGCCAGCAACCGATACATAACGCTTTTTGGACAGTTTCAATTAAACAAACATAACAAAATCCATCTTAATTTGAAATCCTCTCGAGGTTTCGTTTCAATGGCTTCCAAACAAATCATTCATAAATATCCCACCACAAGGGAAGAACGCAAATCAGAGCTCAGCAAAGTAATTTGGATTCGACATCAATGGAAGGTGAAATCGAGAGCCAAAGTCTACAAGCACTCGCCGAGGGGCTGCGACAAATGGAGCAGCCACTACTGGAAAATGCCCCAACAACAAACGCTAAGCCAACAAAAACGCCTGCCCAGAAGGCCATAAGAAAGACCTTCAAAGGAACTGCCCATTTGGCCAATCTTCTCCCAACAGGGACCGTCCTCGGCTTCCAAATTCTGTCCCCCATATTCACGCACCAAGGCCAGTGCCACACCAAGGTCAGCCAATCCACCACACTTGGCCTTGTCACCCTCTGCGCCTTCTCCTGTTTTTTCCTCCTCTTCACCGACAGTTTTCGGGACGAACGAGGCAAAGTCCGATATGGGGTCGCCACGTTTCGAGGCTTGTGGATCATTGACGCCTCTGTCACTCTTCCTGATGAAGAGGCTGCCAAATACAGGCTTCGGTTCATCGATTTCTTCCACGCCTTCGCTTCTCTGCTGGTTTTCGTAGCTGTTGCTCTGTTCGACGAGAATGTGGTTAAGTGTTTCTATCCCACGCCATCGGATGAAACAAGGGAGCTCTTGGTTGTGCTGCCTGTCGGAATTGGCGTCTTGTGCAGCTTGTTGTTTATTGTTTTCCCCTCCAAACGACACGGAGTTGGGTTCCCCCTCTCTCGCCACTAGCAAACCAATGCCAATGGCCTCTCTCTTTTATACTAAATTCATGTTGCAATCAAACTTTTGTATTCTACATTCTTGAGTTTTTGCTTATTTAATGAATTCAATCGAAGAATATAACCTCAAAATTGACACATTCATTCAATCAAATCACTCGCTTTATAAAAAGAAACAACGCTATCCAAACAAAAGATACAATTCATGCTGGACCCAAGAGCTTCCTAATGCCGACCTTCTGCTCGGCGGTGAGTCTRGTGGGAAACTTGATGACGAAATGAATTCTCAAATTCCCTTTCTTTGTGGGGTCTTTTTGGAGCGGCATTCCTTCAGCTGGAATCACTTCTTCGTAATTTGGAGTGATGACATTAGTGATTGGGAAATTGAGATGTCTGCCATCCAAGGTTGTGAGATGAACAGAGCACCCTGTCAAGGCCTCGACCAGAGATATCTTCTGGGTGACGATTAAATCGTTTCCATCGCGAGTGAATAAGCTGTGAGGCTTCTCATCGATGACGAAGACGAGATCTGATGGTATAACATCAGGCTCCTCGTTCCCTTTTTCTGGGAAAGTGATCTTTGTTCCTTTCTTCCACCCGGGTTTTATGTTGATTGTCAAAATCTCCTCTGTTTTCATCGTTTTCCTGATTAGGTTAAGAAAAATGAAAGGTTAGATCTTGAAAGAGTAAAAACAAACACAAAAGAAATTGTAGGTTTTTTATGCGTTTGCCTACCCACGAATATCAGTGATTTCTCTTGAAATTTTCATTTTTTTGGTGGTTCCATTGTACAACTCTTCAAGGCTACACAGTAAGTGTCTCTCAATTGGAGGGGCTTTACGAGAAGCATGTCGGGGGGCCATGGAACCGCCTCCGCCGTCGCCACCGCCGTCACCGAAGGATGCAAAAATACCATCACCGAAAATACCTGATGAGAACCTTTGTCCTCTTCCACCCATGCCGCCGAACGGGCTCGAAAACCCAAAGAATTCAGAGAAAATATCGTTTGCGTTTCTGGGATTGAACCGAAACGTGGTTGGTCCATCTCCGGTGGAGAAGAAGGAAGCGCCGCCCGGCCATCCGGCATCCGGCGGTGGCACCTGACCCTTCAGCCCGTCTTCACCGTACCGATCATAGATTGCCCTTTTCTGGGGATCGCTAAGAACCTACAAAAATTTCCCAAATAGAAACAAGGTGCCAATCAATTCAAAAAACAGAGGAAAACAGAGGAGTTTCATTTGCTTGAAAAATCCCAACTGAGCGGAACGAGAAACAGAAAGAGGAAGCCATATCAGATTGAAATCGAAAAGAGGAAGCTAATAAATACCTCATAAGCTTCAGAAATTTGCTTAAATTTAGCTTCAGCTTCTCTCTTGTTCACAGGGTTCTTATCAGGATGCCATTTCATGGCAAGTTTTCGATACGCCTTCTTCAAATCTTCATCAGTAGCATTCTTATCGACCTGCAAAATCCGGTAGTAGTCGACGCCCATTTGTTCCCTTTGCGCTCTCCTTCTCCTTCTGCCCTGCTTTCTTCTTCGAGAGCAAAAGTGAAAGCTTTTTGGATGTGTTTGCAGCTTTTTCAGACCAAATTGGGTTGGGTGTATGAGTATGTGTTGTGAAGATAACGATGCAATGGCGGTGTTAATTTTTTGGGAGTCTAGAATGGTATGGTTTAAGACATCAGTGGAAAGTTCCAAAAAAACTACAACACTTGTCATTGTCAACAAATTTGGCTTTTACAAATCAGCCTGTGAGGTAAGATGAATTTATTGGAGTATGATTTTTGGTTATTCTTTTTAATTTGTTTCTGTTCAATTATTTAGTGTATGCTCTCTCTCAAATTACCTTTTTTTTTAGCGAGGTAATCAGTAATAAGAAGTGTGTTCTTTTTCCTCTTTGACAGTAAAATTTTCTACTGTTTGGCAAGTACATATCTTGCACAAACTTTTTATTTGGATGGAATTTTCTTCAATACTAGTCTCCAAAATAATCAAACAATGTTGAAATGAAAACAAACTTTCGCCCTTAAACTCACTGTTATAATTCATAACTACAACCATTAATTGGGTCAGTTTGACAAAGTGGGTTTCATCTAAAACCAGTCCATATGTCCAGGATCCCCCTTGCAAACAGATTTGGGTCAACAAAACCAAACATTAAAGAATCAATGATAAAAAAGAATACCATTATTATAAATCTGATCTATAAATTTCTGAAATACACGTAATATACAACTACGAAACAAAAAATGGATGTGATGATAGTAAGAGAAAGAAAAAAAAAGAGATGGATGGAGAAAACATCAACAGGGTATTTGGTGGGTGAACCATCGGAGCACCTTGACCGGAAGCTTGACGAGACCCACCGCCATATTTGCTAGGCCGGCGCAGCAGATGCAGCACGGGCACAGGCAACTCAGCACAGATCTGCAATAAAACCCCAACCCCAACCCCCCATTACTTCTCAATTTCAAAATTTTTAATCATAACAGATACGGAACACAGAACAGAGTGAAAACAGAACTCACCCGATGATCCATATCACTGCCCCAACCACTGATAAAACTAGTGCAACCAACGCAAATGGCAGCCCCAGCAGGAACCCCAATGGCCTGCAATCTCCCATCTCTCTCGCTTTCTTTTTCTCTGTTTCAGATGGAACTTGGAAATTGGAATTTGGAAGTGAATTAAGGATACGATACGGGCACCTGTATTTATATTTTCCCCACGGCGAGGGGACGCGGTCGCAACCGCCGCCCACCACCACCAACTTTGCTGGGTGAATTCCCTTTGCTACCCTTGGAGAGGGTGAAAGGTCCAGGGGTATTCTCGGGAAATTGGGCAATTTTGAAGCTTCGTGCCAGCCTGTTGAAGATTCCGCGCTGACTTTTCTTTGATTTTGGAGCGTTGATCTGATCCATCTAAGCCAATCGCGTCGGCTCTCAGATTCCACGGCGGTTCAATTTCAAACCCGCCCTTTTAGGAATTCGGTGAGCCTTCACCCGGTTCGAGTTTTTATAAACCCGTCAACATATTAATTCCGAAACTCTACAAATATTGGCGGCTTTCTTCCTTTCTAATGCGGTTTCACTGGTTAGGAAAATACAAATATTTTTTTGGAACCTTTTTTCTTCTTGTCCCCTGTTTCTATTTTAAAATTAAAAATAGAAGTTCCAGTTTATTTGAAAAGTTTTAATTTGAATATTGCTCAATGAACCAAATGATTGTCCCTGAAAAAACGATTCAAATGATTGAAATTTTGAATTTCTACCTTTCTATTGTAGTACTATATTATAAAAACCTAACCTGGCTTAAGAAGTAAGAGATAAAACTTGTTTGATGATAATTCAATTTCTTAAAAAGAAAAAAAAAAGAAGAAGAAATTAAATATGTCTTAATATCTTTGTTAAGCCTAAATATGTCATTCGAATTCTRTTTCGTTTCTATTTGTGTTTTYCTGTTTTCACTGTTAACAGATTTTGAATATAAAATTTAAAATGCAGAATTATATAGAAAACATAAAAACTTTGATAAATATAGTATTTCATGTTATAAACTCATTTAATTTTTGTTAAAGCTAATACATATAAAAATAATATATTATAAATTTTGTAAAATAATGACTTTACAAAATTTATAACATCTATGTTAACAAAYTAATTAATAATATTTTAAATTAAACTATCTATTAAAATTCGTAACTATGAATGATTTTGAACCAGTTTTTTAGATTTAATTTTCAAATCTACTGTCAGATATGAATATTCATTGAATTTCTATTTCAGATTACCAACCAAATTCACTGAAATCTCAACTTCTATTTCTTTGTTAGTACAGATCTTGATTCTCAACCATATTTGGAATAAAATTCAATGTAGGATGATCTTACTAATTTTCTGTCAAATATTACGAATTATACTAAATTTATATCTACAATGACATATATAATTAATGTTGAAGAGATGGGTGAAAGAGTGTATAAGGGTAGAAATTAGTGAAATAAAAAATGCATATCAAGAGAAACTAGAAAATTTACCAACAAATTTAAGAGAATATTTGTAGGTTGAAATACATTCCCACTATTGTCCCTAAGATATTTTGATTTCTAACTTTAGAAAATAATTCTAAAAGGTTATTGGAACTTCGGCATGATAAATTTCTATTGTTCCTAAGATATTTTGATGTCTAACTTTAAAATGTAATTCTAAAAGGTTATTCCATAAAATGCTGATACGGAAAAAGCGGTAATGTTTGTTTAGGGGCCAAGCCATGGGAAGGGTCAATGTGTCGATTTTGGTTCGAGTAATGGGCTTGGGCTTGGGTGGGCTGTGGTCCAAAACAGCTGCTGGAATGGAGTGAACCGAAAGCCCACTCCTTCTAATTCCAAATTTGACCTCTCCAAGCTCTCGACAGCTGGCAGTGAAAATGAAACATTGCATTGCATCCCATAATTTTCTCTATGCTCATCACGAAATAATCGACACCTATTTTCACATTATTATATTTTATTTTCGTTTCTTTTAGACTTTATTTGGGTGATAATTTTGTCCAGTATATATATATATATATACATATATATATATATATATATATATATATTTGGGTGATAAATGGTTTTAAAAAAATAGTGATTGTGTTTCCACTGAATTTTCATTAAAACAACACTTCCCAAATATTTTATTTTCAATGTTTTTGTGTATTATAATTAATTAAGATTTATGATGTGTTTTAGTCACTTTTTTTGGTATGATAACTTAAAATTTTGTTTAAATCCTAAGTCCTAACTAATATTTTAGGGAAAAAAGAGTTTGTTTAAATGTAGTATTAGTCCTTAAATAATTTTATGATTTTTTATTTTAGTTCTTAAATTTCTAAACGTTTTATTTTTTTTTCTTAAATTCTTACAAATTATTTATTTCAATCCTTTTTAACTTTTAAAATTTTATTTCTGTCAAACAACTTGAATATTGTGTTGAATTTGACATAACTCCATCCATATCCATATGCATGTCATATTTACATTATTATTTAATTCTTGAATTTTAGTTTAGTCCCTACTAAATTAATCTGTACATTATTATATTAATTACGATAGGACTGAACATGCATCTCTGCCAAAGACTAAATTTGAAAAAGTATTAAAATAAAAAAAGTTGAAGCATCCAAGTGTGAATATCCAAAAGTTTAAGACCAAATATATAATAATTCATAAAATTAAGCACTATCATATTGTTTAAACCAATATTTTTCGATCTATAAAAAAAGATTAGTAATTTATATATAATTGATTTTTTTTATTTAAAAAGTTAGAAGAGATAAAATAGTTAGTTCAAATTTCTCGAATGGTTAAAGTATTTATATCCGGTTAAAAGTAGTACGAATTTCTTCTCCTTAAGTTGTATTAAAAAAAGAAAGTTGTTGTATTAAAAAAAGAAAGAGAAATTTGAAATGACAAATGAAAAGCATAAAACTAGCTTTTATTTNGTTTTTATTTTCTCATAATGTGCAAATATATTTCAGTTGTGAAAATATATACTGAGAGTCACAGATATATATTGATTTTTATGCATAGATATATGGATTTCTGACAAGCGTGTGTATATTCAAACAAATAACTTCCCACCACAAAACCCTTCGAAAAGTTGTTTCTGTCAAAGACAAAAATCTCTTCTCCACTCATTTATTTACATGTAATGCTTTATTTGGCTTTATTCTTATAAAATATCATTTCCTCCATATGCCCATATTCATCAATACAATATGTTTTCTTAAATAATTTTTTTAACATTGGTAAAGACATATACTAATAATAAATTTGAGGAAAGACCTCACCTTTATTTTTTACCTTGCTCCAATCTTTCAATTTCCACTAAAACAAATAAATTTAGATAATAGTGTCCTAACATTGCCTTAAAAACTTTGAATATGTATTTAATTTTTAACGATATACCTGTTAATGATACCATATTGAAAAGACAAGGGTCGGGATCTAACAAATGTTTTGTTTTGAGATGGAAATCGTGATATAGTATCAGAGCTCCAAACTCAAACGGGTATCCGACCCAAGATTTTTGAATCCAAAAAGGTCATCATCTTGAAGGCGAATATTGATAATACTTTCATTTGAAAAATCATTAAAAAGAATAATACATTTTAGTCATTTTTTATAAAATTTTAACACAAATTTTATACCTATTATGCATTTTAAGAAATATATTGAAATGTACCAAAGTTGAAAATACTGAGACCAAAGCGAACATTTTGAAAATCCAAGGACCAAAATGAACAAAAATTGAACATAGAGGTACCAAACTAATATTTTAACATATAGTTAATACAACACTTATGGAATTTTTGAATTACTTAACGAGAACACTTTGACTTTAGATCTGCATATTACAGAAAAGAAGGAAAAAAATAATATAATATCAAGTAAATATGGTAGTATATATTAGTATGACCCGTTACTTTATTTTTCTAATATCAAGGAAAAATTTTCTTGTGTCTCCTTTTCCAGCAATTTAAAAGAAGATTCTAGTAGATCTTGACTAGTTGTGCTTAATGTTTGGTTTTCAAACTCCAAAATAGCGCTTCGCCAAAGTCATCAAAATGCATTAGGGGGAAGGTGAGAGACAATGACAATTTTGTAACATTAAATAAAATAATCAAGTATAATTATTAAGTTGATAAGTTGATAGTAATAATTCACAAAAAAAAAAGTTTAATCTAATTAAATGTGAATAATCTTGGAAATTTGAATGAAAATTATTGGAGAGTGTATTGGATGAGGGAGAGGGTGAAAGGTGAAATTTTGGATTATTAATTTGAAGTCGTTGTAGGGGAGGGGACCTCAAATGGCGAAAAAGAAAGCCAAAGCCATATTTACAACATATATTATATATAATATTAATCACCAACAAGTTCAACAGCAATTATTGCAAGCTTTGAGGACCCATTCTTAACAACATGTATATGTCCAATTCCATGGTCTGCCTCGGCGGACCATTAATAAAGATATATATATATCTATGTCCTTTTTAGCATTGTACTAAACAAATTAAATAATCTGTCATCAAAACTTGTGTTACTTTCATCTTCTGAATGCCCTTCTGCTTTCTCATAATTTGGGTCTATCCATGCATTTTGTTTAGCTTTATACACACAAAATAATCAAAGTATATGAGCAAGTAATATGTTATATAGTATGGTTTATGAATGTTTTAATTTGTTATATATTTCTGTTCTTTGGGTTATTATGAAATTTAAGGACTGTAAATTACTCTTTTGTGTGTGTGCTGTGAAGTGAGACAAAGTAACGGGTGAAGAAAGTCCAATACAAGTATCCACTTTGCTTTATGGAGCTGTTTGGGCAAGATTTTTCTATGTTGTCTTTACTTGGAT